ACGTACACGGGCTAAAAACCAACAGAAACGCACAGAGCGCGTTTCCCACCTTTCAGCTTGATCTGAGGTACTCTGTGCAGAAGGTAAGCGAATCTGGGGGTTAAATGTGTCAGGAGACCGCAGCACTTCGTAATAACCATATAAGGATTTGAACCAGGTCTTTTCGCTTTCGAGTGTACCTTTGATGATCTCTGTTAAATGTAAAGACGAAAGCTTGATGTATGTGAATTATACAGTACTGAAAAACGGTGCTGCAGGCTGCAAATCCCCCATAATCTCCATCTGCCTTTGTTGCTTGGAGCCAGCGTGGGTGTGCTGTTACAATGCAACTACTGGCTCAGTGGAAGCGAAGTCTAGTCCATTTCATAGTTTTGAAATGTATTGACCTATTTTAACTACGTCACGTTTGTCATACTATGTGTTTAAAAAAACACTAACCAGTATCTTACTGTCCAACAAAATCATCCACAAGCGTTTCACCAGAATTACATCCTCCTATCCATCCACTCCTCTTCAAGGCTCCCTGTGCAGACGGTGTGGATGCTGAAGTTTGCAACGTAAGACAGCGTTGGAGCAGGCCAGCTGTTTGAGCAAAAAGCCTAAATATGGTGAGGCTGGAACTTGACCAGGTGGTGATAAAGAGGATGAAGGAGGAGGACATCGAAATTGTGAAAGCCCTTATCAAGGTTTGTATTTAGACAATGCTTTGGGCTTCATCATGTTGGGTATTAAGTCAAATCCTTTTGAGGTTAGTGCCCTTTATTTTTTTAAAAAGTGCATGAATTTCTTTGCAGGAGGGCTGCGAGGGCACGGAAAATCGTCTCATCCTCCACATCCTCACTCGCCCACTCTGCCTTTTCATCCTGGCTGTGTTTTCCTCAATTCTGCGCTGCCTTGTCCACTCTTTCATCCTGGCCCTTGCTATACCTGTCTTCCTGTTAATTGTCTTTCTCAAAATCACCATGCCGCGGTCAACCGGGGTCCTGGGCAGCAGCCGGCCCTACTGGGACTATGTGGGTAGCAGCTACAGAGAGGCACAGGATGACACCCTGCAGAATCCCTACTGCCGGATCAGTGGCAAGACACCATTTACAAAAAAGGTTAGTCTGTTGACTTGCTTAAATTCACTTTTTTTGGAGCAGTTTTTATTTAAGACTAGTTGCTAAATATTACTTCTGTTCAGCCAAAGCGCCGAGCTGGATCCAAAGACAAGGACAAAGAGACGACAACAGAAAAGATCACTCCAGAGAGGGAGCAGGCAGCAGGGCAGGTCTGGCTGGCAGAGTGTGAGGGAGATATCCTGGGCTGCATCTTCCGGGAGGGCGAGACACGAGCGGGCATCAGCAGGATTTGCAGGCTGGTGACAGGCTCCTGGTACCGCAGGGAGGGCCTCGGTCGGCTGCTTGTCCAAAGCCTGGAGCAGAGAGAGAGGGAGACAGGGGCACACAGAGTGTATGCACACGTCCCCTACCCCTCAAAGTTGGGGGAAGCCTTCTTCAGGAAACTGGGTTATCGCCAGCTTGGAGTGGAAACTAGTGATGAAGATGATATGGAACTGAAACAAGAGAGTCCTGAGAGAGGCTTCCTGGGCTACCCCCTCACTAAAGTGTATTACAAAGACTTGTGATTGAGTTTTAATGGACACGTGCAGTTTAAAAGGTAAAGAAGTGCGTCTGATTTCTGCGGCAGCATGTTCAAGTATTTCATTTTTGTAATCTTTGTGTTATTTATTCGATTATTTATTGAGTGTGCTGCTATCCCGAGGATTCATTGTTTTGAGTTTATTTTTTATCATCTCGTCATTTTCATTTAGATGAAAAACGGATTCTTTATTTAATCATTCAAAGATTGCATGATCATGCCTCAGCTGTGCTGTTCTCTGAGCATTTGTAATAAAGTAATAACTACATTTCATATCTGTTAGCTGTGTTTGTGCAGTTCCTTTTCTTAAGCAAAATCAACACTGTAAAAGGTGCGTGTGTGTGCGCGCGTGTGTGTGTGAGTGTGTGAGACTGCAAGCATTTCTTTGTGTGAAACCAAACAGATGTGTAGGAGGCTGTACAGTTACTGTATAGGAAGTATGTGCGGTTTCGTGAATATGCAGAATTTATCTACTTTTATCTCTGCACTCCCTGACTGCCGCTGCTCACCTTCGTAATAGCTTGTGGGTCGATGAGGCTGCAAAAACAGCACAACCTCAATAACGTTTTCTTCCACTTTTAGTTTTCTATGTTATATTTTAGGCGATGGTAAAGTTATCAATCGCAAAGAGAGTGCATACTTTAATGCTAGTGTTAATTGATAAAATATATAGTGCTTTAACAATGCGTTCTTGTTCAATTATACATTATATTTCCTTAATGAAGAGGAAATAAATCATTATTTTCCACTTTCATTCATTTTAATTTATACACTAGAAACTGTATTATCTTTTTTTTAAAATTAGAAGCTATTGTGGGTCACAGCATCATAAATGCAAGGATTTTTTGTTTTTTTCCATTTAAATTTACGTTATCACTAAAATACTACATGTAGATTCATTCTGCAGAAAGTAGCTATTAGCTGCATCCCCAAAATACTGAGTTATTACAAAGATTTAATCATATTCAGTTATGCTTTCATTTGTATGGAGATTGTAGCACGCTATGTAAAAGTTATACATAGATATTATGACTTGAGCATGTGTGTGGTTTGCAGGTGAATGGCAGTTTATATGACTAAGTGGGGAAATACACACAACCCCCCTGCTTGAGGCTAACCTTAATATGGTTAGCAGCCCTCACGCTTGCATTGCGAGTCTACCCCACTGCTAACCTCAGACGATGTCAGTATAGCATCAATCTGCCACACATAAACACCACAGGATGTTTGTGCAGTGTTAATGTGTGTGGGAAGGAGGCATATCACACCTGATGTGAAGGCAAATATAGGCCTATACTTTGCTGCTAAATCATGCAAGCCAAGCCATAGTGGAAAATCGCCGTCCTTTAATTAACTTAAATGACAAAGCTGAAACACCTAGTAACACAGCGGTGTTGTAGCATGCACGAGTAAGTGTGTGGTCAGGGCATTTTCGCCTTGTAAAAGCTGTAGTCTTTACTTGTGACACTTCTCGGTCATCATCAGGTTGTTTCCACGTGACTGCCAAACAGTAGACACCTGTAAGCTGGGCCTCTACCCGCCTGATCTGTAGCTATTATTGTTGTCAGGAAACAGATGTGAGTTCACACACTGGAAAGAAAGTCTGTTTGTGACTGTGGTCATATGCGTCTGCACGGTATGGCTGTGTGAGTGTGTATGTGTGTGTGTGCCTGTGCGCGCATGAGCAGGGTGTGGGCGGGTGGGTTTCGGAAAGTATGACTTGGCATTTCTTACACCCGGTCCCCCCCATCCTCGACTACGGTTTAAATGCATGTCTGGCCATACGGTACTACTCCAGCACACACACACACACATTCATACAGTGCACAGGAGGGGTGGTAGTGCACGCATGAGTGTTCATGAGTGACTGTGAGATGACCTTGGTCAACTGTGGTCAAACCCAGAGAGGTGGTTGGGAAGTGGTTACATATAGTTTGGCATTTGATCAGCCTCTTGAAGTCCAGAAAAGACACATGCGCTCAAGATCAAATGTGCAGAGACATTAGGCTTAGTGCGCTGTCAGAGTAATGCAATATGATGTGAGGTTGTTCAGTGCATGTAGACACACACACACACATGAATCACTCTAAATTTGGGGGCACCACACAATCACAGGATAAATTAGATAAATTTGTTCCAGATGATGTATAACATATAGACTGTGTTAATGACATGCTCATACAGATGGCCAACACACACATGCTTGCACACATACACACACAGATGAGCGCCAAAAACAGCCACCCTGGGAAACGGTGAATTCCCCAAACCACAGAGTGCATGAGAGGGTGAGGGGAGTCATGGGAAAGCAGGATGCCTGCATGCAGTGCCACTGAGTGAGCAGACTGGGCCCAAGCTAAAACAGACTGAGCAAAAAAAGAAGCAAAATAATACACATCCTGATTTGGCACCGAACCGATGACAGCATCTGAAGGTTCAAAGGCTTGTGAGTGCGATTTATCCACACGCTGTGGTCGGTCAGCTGGCCAGCCAGTCCGGCAGGCACGTAGGACGAGGTGGGTCGATTACAGGTCTGCTCCCATCCTGACACAGTTTGGGAAAACCCAGATGAAAATACAAAGTACGTGTTACGTCTGGGAACGCCTGTAACTCCACCAAATCTTGGGGCCCCTGAGGAAGTGGGGAGGGGGGACCAGCTAGGTGGAAAAGACTGAATAGCACTGTAAATCAAGGTGAGACGGTATCTGGAAGCTTTTACTTGATGATATGGCAAAAACAAACAGTTGAGAGCCTGTGACTGCATGAGTCTTAAGTGTCTGGAAAGTTCCATCCAGTTGGCTCCATTTACTGACGTCTGTAAAAACTCCAAAGGTTACAAATCACGTCAAACGCTCCTCTCATGTGTGGTCACTCGGATTATTTTTTAAAATCTGCGTTGTGTAATCTCCCCCTCCAATAAAATTCCTTTATTGCCTTTCACCAAAAGAATGGTTTCACTTTAATCATTGTTTAAACAGATGTCAAATTCTTTAAATAAACATAAGAACCACGAAGCATTCAAAAAGAAAACATTTGGCCAGTGAGTAATCCAATTACAACTTTAATTGCTTAGCAGCAGCACGGTGTAATCCAGCCGTCTCTTCTGTATCACGCCTCCCCAAATTATCTTTGAAAAATCATTCTGTCCAACCAGATGCTGCCTTGTGTTGTATGCAGGATGTTTATGTTTAGAGGTATATCTTCTCAGTTCCCTCCCTTTAACCCCCCAACACACACACACACACACACACACACACACACACACACACACACACACACACACACACACTTTCACTCTTTCTCATTTACCTTCCTTTATGCTACCCAAGCCCGACGAGTGGCAAAGCGCGTCTTTTGAAATGATTGCAAAGCTAGACAGGTGAGCAAAATGGATATATTATATTTATATGTTGCATTTATCGTTCCAAACAACAACTATTTGACCAAATTGTGCGTGCAAACTATTTAATTAAGAAAAAAAAGAACGCTTTTTTTATAGTTCTTTTACCACGCTACGATACTTTTGATGCCATTATAAGATTTGTCATTGGAAATCTGTTTCAATAATTATGACCCTTTACTCGTGAGTTATATCAGGGTTTCAGTATTAACAAGTGATGAATAACTGTCCTGCTTTCACTAAAAGTCGTGAAACTGAGAGTGAGAAAAGGTTTGTGAGTGAACGTAAGCCGCTTTCTGACTGTCCATCACTTGTGTTTGGTTAACCACAGGTTTTGCATGCATTACTTGTGCTAACTTAAGAGATAAAACTTGTATTAATGAGCGACTCATCTAAGTAGTAATAAGAATTAGTCTCAGACCTTAGTGGTGTAAAATTATTAATTGTGCGAATGACTAGGGAAACTTTCTGACACCACAAAGCTGCCACACCTTTTGCACTGAAATGTTGACTGATAAATTCAACATAGCGTGCTTTTAAATTGTATCTTGTTTTTTTTTTTAATCTGTGCTGTGTCTACTGCAGTGTGCTCTTTAATGTTTTCTCCCTTTATTTCAGTATGCTTTTGCCCAGAAAAAAGTTCCTCTATCATTACAAGAATGTGCGCTGGGCAAGGGGCCGGCATGAAACATACCTCTGTTTTGTAGTAAAAAGACGAGTAGGGCCTGACTCCTTGTCCTTTGACTTTGGACACCTCCGCAATCGCAATGGCTGCCATGTAGAGGTAGGTAAAGTGGGAGAAGATATGAAAAGGGTTTGCTCAGTAGCAAGAGAGAAAACAGCAATTGAATGAAGGCTGTATAATGATTATTTTATTCTTATTTTTCTCTGCAGCTGCTGTTCCTGCGCCACCTTAGTACATTATGCCCTGGTCTATCTGGGTATGGATTTCATGGGGAGAGGAGGGTCAGCTACTCTATCACCTGGTTCTGCTCCTGGTCTCCCTGTGCAAACTGCTCTTCCAGACTGGCCCAGTTCCTCAAACAGACACCCAACCTTCGCCTCAGGATCTTTGTCTCTCGTCTTTACTTCTGTGACATGGAGGACAGTCGTGAAAGAGAGGGTCTCAGGCTGCTTAAAAAAGTCGGCGTGCACATCACAGTCATGAGTTACAAAGGTGGATGAATGAATTTATGCATATGTGGGCGATAAACAGAAAAAGTAGAGACATATTTGACTTTAGAGTTGTGCACTATTCCCTAAAATAGTCCTTTCCTGGATATCAGTAACAATTATTTATTTTGCTAATTGTTTTAAGACTTCTTCTACTGCTGGCAGACTTTTGTGGCTCAGCAAAGCAAATTTAAGGCCTGGGAAGATCTGCATCGAAACTCAGTACGTCTGGCCAGAAAACTCAACCGCATCCTCCAGGTATAACATGTAACACACAACATATTTTCCCTCAGGCAAGCAGGATGAGGCCAATCGAAATAATGATGTGTTCAGAATGATAATAATGTCCTGTTCTGCCTTTTCTCTTTCAGCCCTGTGACACAGAAGATTTAAGAGATGCCTTCAAGCTTCTTGGACTGTAAAACAAACCTGTGGCTGCCTGTGAAGTTAGCATTAAGTCTATTATTAAGTCTGATGAGAAAAAGATATGTTGGTGTTGGACCATCACTACAAGAGCTAAACTGAGAATTAGAAAAACTGAGAAAAAAATGCTTTCAAGTTGTGGCAAGGCTTGTAACATTGGGTAGCTGCTGCTTGCTGTATCTGTAGCGAAGTCAAATAAAGTACTTTACAATCAGATACTGGATTGTGTTATTGATTGCGAACGGTAATCATTATTAATGTTATAGTTTTATAGTACCAATTATTCTGGGCCGATAAGCTAACTACCGGTAGGTAGTAGCTACCATAACCCACAACTGTACTGGAATAGTTTTTAACCATAATCCACGTGGATTATGGTTAAAAACTATTCCAGTTTTTCACATTTAAACTGTACTCTGGCAATAAAGTCGAAAAACAAAGGTCGTAATCAAAGCAGCAAAGGCTTAATATCAAAATTTTAAAGTTAAACCGAAAACAATCCCATAATACAACCAAGAGCTATTAATCATTTGATTTGTTCCTTTTGATCTAGCGTAGAAAATGTGTGCGTAACACCCCTTTAATGTAGCAACGTGTCGGTAGCAATGGCGCAGAGGGACCCGCTTATGCGCAAATACACCGTCTATTACGGTCAAATAGCCGTTAACGCGGCGCGGACACACCACACCGTCACCATCACCGCCACCGGCGTACTCCGACTGAGTAAAAGTCAAGATGGCGACTGATGGTCAGTTCGAATATGAGTCGATCCTCTGTGTCAAACCTGAAGTCAACGTTTACCGAATCCCACCGAGAACATCTAACCGGGCTATCAGGTGAGGGATGGGGGAGGTTTCTGACCCAGCGCTCGCTTGCTGCTGCCTTTAGAAGCCGTTGCCTCAGCGACCTGCCTACCAACCTACCCAGCTCATCCGCTAGTCACGAAGCCTCACGTAGCGGCGGCGGTAGTTTATGAGCAGGTTGTTTTTGGGTGTGTATTTACAAGGTCATAGGGTTGTACTGGGCCCTGTTAGCCCACTTAACAACGACTGTATCGGATCGGCTACATCCCTCTCGGTTTGTCTGTGTTCGTGCTTTCATCCTGTGACACATCAGGAGAGATCTGGCACTTAAAATCAGCTATCAGCTGAGAACAGCGTGCTACACGTCCTAATTTCGCTAGTTTGTCGTTTAAGTACAAACAGAAGAGCATCCCTGAGGCTGCAGAGAGGCTAGAGTCCTCCTCAAGGACGCTTGAACATTGTTTGATGTTGCTCCATGTCAAGGGGTTAAACATGGGATGTCCTGGCTCATAGCCAATGTGGTCACCTCAATCCATTGTTATGTCTTTACTGTGCAGATAATGCATATGTTATAAAGAGGTCGATATTGGTTTGTTTACCCCATTTTTCATTGGCTGGTCCTTCAGCATGACCTGCTGCAGCTGCTTCTGACTGGACATTACACCAACCAAACAGTAGCATGTGCCTCAGGTCCCATGAGCCACAGGATTGGTTAACCGCTGACCATATGTATTGTGAGTAAGGGTGATGATGTAATATTTCATCCCCATGTCTCAGTGAAATGTCTTAGTCACGTTTTGCACACGTAGAAAATGAGTGTGTCTGAGTATGACAAATCATAACAGTAACTTTCCTGTGTCTTGCTTATTCACCTCCTCTGTCAACATCAGTCTGAGTAAACTGTCAACAATTCACCTACATCACAACATCTACCTCTGTGTGTGTGTGCGTGTCTTAGGGCTGCTGATTGGAAGCTGGATGCTCCTGACTGGACGGGACGCATGCGTGTGACGGCCCGGGGCAAAGTAGCCTACGTGAAATTGGAAGACAAAGTCTCTGGTGAGAGACGAGCAGACAGGGCAGCGCCATTGTTTACCGGGCTGTCGCTGCTGTAAATCACTTCACTGTATAGTCTCCTGTTTGTCACCCTGCCCCTCTGTTACTCATCGATTCCAAGGTGACCCAGCCTGCAGCCGAGTGAGCAGTCTGGAGGCTGCATCAGTGCATTTTTTAGAAACTTAATGTCCTTGTTTTCTGTAAAATACACCTTTTGTTTTCCATTCACGTAACATGGCAACAATTACAAGTTCTGGTCTGATTCTTTAAATCCTAAAGAAAGGTGGTTTATTTACTACCTCCTTCAGCATAGGATACAAGTAATGTCCTGCAGAACAATCAGAATAACAAATAGGTGATGCAGATCGTGTAAATTTGAATTAACATAACCTGATGATATGTTTTGAACCTGGAATAGCAGCCTTTAAATGTGGACACAGAACTGCTGTGATAAAATCTTCATCATGAAGTAAATCATTTAGAAAATCAAGATTATTCAATTCAGTTTTATTTATCTAACTCTAAAACACAAGAACAAACACCTCAAGGTGCTTTATATTATAAGGTAAAGTACCTACAATAATGCAGTGTAAATCCCACCAATCAACTAACCCATTTTGAGCAAAGATTTGGTGACAGTGGGAAGGAAAAACTCCCTTTTAGCTGGAAGAAACCAGGCCCAGGTAGGAGCAGCCATCTGCTGCGACCAACTGGGGGTGATGGGGAGAAGACACAATGTGAAAGAGATTCATAGCTGTATTAAAATGACCAAAGTGAGTTTAAGGTTTACAGTAATTGAGCTTGAATACGTTATAGTACCATGCAAAAGTTGTTGTTGTTTTTTATGGACATTGACTACTTTTTGGTTCATTTTCGGTCCAGTCCCTGTACCTGACCATTTTCAGAGAAATGTTTTTTTTCTGTTTGTTTGTTAAGCTGCTTAACATTGACCTGTGACTCATTCAAGCATAAAAAAAGACACCTGACTCAAGTGACAAACCAGTGTTGTGTCTACACATAACACTTAGGAAAGAACCCAGTTTAATTTGTACCTTTAGGCACTTTGTCACAAAAACACATAATTTGTTCCCATGTCTTTAGTTAAATCTACAGTAAATGCCAAAAATAACACCGTTGGAGAGCACAAAATAGTATTTTTTGTACCAGCAAGGTGATTCCCAAAAATTTGGCCTATGTCAGCATGGTGTGTAGTGTATCCTTAAAAAATGAGTAAACTGGATGAGAGTAGAGGAAAAAAGAAAAAGTGGGAGGTGTAAGACACTGTCTAAAGCAGATGAACAGAAAGCCTTGTCCTTAAGAGGAAAAACTACAGCAAAGACCTGAAATTTGCAGTTCAAGTCATCAGTATGTACGGAGGAGGTACAACAGCCATCTCCAAAACGTGTAGAAGACTCTGCCATGGTTTGGGGCTGCATTTCAGCCAATGATGTTGGTGAACTTGTCCAAATCGATTGAATTATGAAAACAAAGAAGTACCATCAGATTTTGATAATATAAAGAAATGATGAGGGATACTCAGGATGTTTGCATAGGACTGTATATCCGTTGTTGTATTGCTGCCTTTAAGATTATCATGAATTCATCTGACCTGAATCACATAAACCTTTATTAAAGTAAGTGAGGACATGATGACCAACTAATCTGAGTATGACCGGGATTTTTACTGACTTTATAGGCTATATATTCCTGTTTATTTAAAACCACCTGAAACATATTGCAACATACAAAGCTATAGGTGAGTATCTAAAATAAGCTTTTTGTAGTCCATCTTCAGGGCCCTGTAGTTTCAACACAGTCGACATCAATGATGTCATCGTCACATTGTTTAAGAGACTTTTGTGAGTGCAGTCAGATTCTCACCAGCTCCACACTTATTTAATTATTCTCCTTCACATCTGTCCTTTACCTCGTGGCATTTTCCATCAAACCTTCAGACTGTTTTGCCAAGCTGATAACGAACACATATCTTTTCAGGGGAGCTTTTTGCCCAAGCACCAGTGGACGAGTATCCTGGAGTTGCAATGGAAACAGTTAGCGACTCAAGCCGTTACTTTGTGCTGCGCATCATGGACGACAACGGTGGGTAAAACAATTATTGCTAAGCCATAAAATATTGAAAAAAAATGTGTTTGAACAGGATACAAGGACATTATCCGGATTGATGTGGGTTTTTTTTAAAAGTCTAATAAATTTAAATTAAAGAATGTTGGGTATTTTTTTAAAGCCTTTAAAATATTTTTTATAGAATCACATACTGTCTGTTTTAGAGATTACTGAACTGTGGAGTAGCTGTATCCATAATTTGTTTCGCAAAGACAAAACTTTATTACATAATTCAAATTTCGTTCAGTCCTGATTTTTATTTTAAAGGTCTTCATTTTTAAAGTAATGCAGGGACAGTGATCATTACAGAAGTTCTGTTTCTGTACAGCACATTTTCAGCCAGTTTGTGCTACGGTGTGCAGGTCATTCTGAGAAACCTGTGGGTTTATTTTGTTTGTTATTACTGCTGTAACTTGATTGTTGTCTTTGTGTTTTTTTCTCAAAGGCCGCACTGCATTCATAGGCATTGGGTTTGGAGACCGAAGCGATGCCTTCGACTTCAATGTTGCACTTCAGGACCACTTTAAGTATGAAGCTGCTCTGTGAACGCAGCTCTAATCATGACTAATTGAGTTGTCAGTGTATTTTTTTCCTTTAGTGTTTCCTAAGATACATTTTTGTATCACTGCTTTCCTCCCTTGCTTTCTTCAGGTGGGTGAAACAGGAAACTGAATTTAGCAAGCAGGCTCAGGCTCCAGACTCCACTCCAAAGCTGGACCTGGGCTTCAAAGAAGGACAGACCATTACTCTGAACATTGGGGTATTATTTATTTTCATAGAGTTTCATAGTACTAGTGTGGTGTTCAGGCCTTTTTCAAAGCTGTACAAATATGTCTCTGTCAAGCTCAAATGCATTGCATCGCATATATTTACTGCTAGGTTTAAAAAAGCATCAATCATACTGGATATACCCTCATTCATGCACAGATTTTGTTTCCTTCCATCTATATCTTATCTAGCAATCGAAAAAGAAGGACAGGTCTCGTCCACAGAGTTCAGGCGGCTTTGGGCTCCTT